TCCACTTCCATTTTTAGAAAACAAATAATCAAACTTCACTGAGAAAGTGGGAAGGGTATTGGGATAGAAAAGAAAAAGAACGTACTAACACCTATGGGTATTCTACATCCCAACACTGAAATCCAAATGGAACAAGTTTGAGGTAATAAGCCCCTAAGGAAGCATGCTGAGCAATGTCTCAGGACAATGTGCACCCGAGCCAGGCACTGCAAACTCCAGCCACAGCAGCTCTATTCTCAGTTGTGCATTTGCTGATGTGAATCTTCCCTGTCAGAACAGGAGTGATTGAGATCAAGGAATATTTTCATTGGATTATTATAATTATAACCTGTCTATATTATCTTCATTTAGAGTAGCACACCTGCCTGGCTGATCTGCCATCATTTCAGCTTCATCACCTCAAGTGTTGCTTCTGCATCAAGTTTCCTCATATATTTTCTTTTCTCCACCTTATGTCCTTCCTGTACACTTGTACTGGCCTCTGCTTTAATACTTTTCAATATCGACTCCATAACTACAGCTGTCATTTCACGTATCATTCTTTATTCTCCCCAAATTGTCTACAATCAGAGTCTCTACTTCTTCAATTTTTAGCTAGCCCACTCTAGTTAGGATTCTACTGTCCAAAGACTTTTTACTGCCTCTTGCAAGATTTTCATTATTTTAGTCTCAGGTGTTAACTCCTTTGAGAGGCATTTTCTTTATGCCGTCTTTTAGAGTCTCTCCTTGTATGCTGATGATTATGATCTGGATAGCACCTATCACTAATATCATCTTGCATATATAATGTGTTTACTTATTTTTTTATCTCCTTAGAGCATGTTACTATTTCATACATGCTTATTTTTCTATGTGCTTATTGTGTTTTCCTTAAATATGTAAAATTCATGAGTGCAGCATTCTTAAACTTACCTTTCATATAGTTGTTACTTCATACATATTTTATTAAATGAAGGCTAACTTCTGCCCAATTTCACTAAGAATTCCAACTCTGAGTACCTATATAAAAACATGATAATGGTGATGCCATATACATTGCAATAATCATTATATTTCCTGCATCTTAGAATTTTGGAATGTTTTTCTTTTCTGTGAGGCAAGCGAATGAGAAGCAAATGGTGTCCACCATTCCAGTTAATTTCTCTTCCATTGTCTCCAGATCCGTTAACTTGACCAGAATCCCCCCAGGATAGATGATTAGTGATGAACCATGTTGAAGCTATTGCAGATGATTTATCATTTTTCTTGTGTTTATGTGCTATGATGCTATGCTTCTGCTCTTTATGTTATTAAATGTCATGAACAAAATAACCTGATTTGGAAGCCAGATTTTTCATACCTTTGGAGAAAATGGTTGAAAAACTATTCCCCTTTCATCTTTCACATAACCTGTAACATTCTGGAAATTTTATTCACATTATTAGGATTTTTTATGGTAGAGAAAGCTTAAAGTCCAAATCTAAACAGCTATTCCCTAAATTCCAGGAGGATATAAATACATACATTTAAGTTAATGTAAACCAGGTAGATAGTCATCTTTATCCGAGAAAGTGGACGACTTCTTTGGTATTAACTAAGAAAAACTAGGTTTTAAACGTATTTGGTTTTAAGGAGTACCTTTAAGGTGTGAAATAAGGTATGAAATAGAAGAGCAAGAAAAAGATGAAGAAGGTTGTAATTGCTTTGGGTAGACAGAAGAAATAGGTATAACCTAAAGAAGTGCAAAGAAAGGTTTTTGAGAGCACTGGATTTATATTAGAAAGGAATAAATTACTTGGTATGATGATGTTGTCTTTCAGGATATTGTAATTATCTTTCTTTATATTTTAGAAATAAATATTTTATTTTAGTTGTAGTTGAACACAATACCTTTACTTTATTTTTATGTGGTGCTGAGGATGGAACCCAGGGCCTCGCCCATTCTAGACAAGTGTTCTACCACTGAGCCACAACTCCAGCCCCTATCTTTCTTTCTTGAAAGAAAATCTTTTTAGACCTTCTGAGAGAATAAGTACAGATTAAATATTCCTATTTTGAAAATATGAAATGTTCAACACTTCAAATCTATACTTTTTGAATGCCACCATGACACCCAAAGTGGAAAATTACATACCTTACTTCATGGATTGTAGTCAAAACTTAAGTACACTAAACATACCAGAGAATTACTTCCAAGATATGTTTATAAGGTATACATGAAACATAAACAGATTTTGTGTTTGGTCTTGTGTCCCATTCCCAAGGTATCTCAAATATGTATATGCAATATTTCAAAATCTGAACAAATCCAAAACACTTCTGGTCCTAGGCATTTTGGATAACAAACCAATATCTTTGTAATTGTATGTTTTGTTTGGTATATTCCTTTAGAATGAGAGTAAATGGTGAAAAAAAATTTCTATTTTATTTATAGAATTTTCAAATGCCTAAGGAAAAAAAGATATTTCAGATTAATGCTTAGAAGTGAGTCAACATTTAACATTCTAGGCAAAGGTTGCAAACATTTCATATTTAGTATAGTTTACTGAATCATTCAGAGTTGTGTATTATTTCTCTTTTTCTGGTACTACTACTGCAGTATAGCAGCCACTACAAGGTTGTGTGGATTTGAGAAACACTCAGATATGTGATTTAAAAAAAAAAAAAAGGAACATTTTAAAGAACAGTCTAACCTCATTGTCTTTTTTTTTTTTTTTTTTTTTGCAGCTTGGATACTCTAATGTATTTTGTGATTGAAGAAGGGCTCTAAAGTAAAAATGTTAAAGCACAGCTTTAACTACTGACTTCCTTGAGGAGATAAAAGCATCCTTAATTCAAGAACATTTTTTTCTTGTTTTCTTGATAACCTTTTCTTCTGGATCTTTGATTTTGAAAACATATCATCAGCCTCTAATAATTTTAAAAATTATTAGAGGCTGATATGTTTACTGAGTCTCTTGAGTGTGTGTGTGTGTGTGTGTGTGTGTGTGTGTATATATATATATATATATATATATATATATATATATATATAGAGAGAGAGAGAGAGAGAGAGAGAGGCAATCTTATTCCTGGAAGATCATTTTCTTTACAGTTGTGTATGTTTTATTTCAGAGACTCATTAAGTTCTTAATTATTTTCTAAGGCATATTAATTTCACCTTCATGTCTAAATATAATGCATAGAAATAGAATATCCTAAAAAAGAAGTTTGCTCTAATATCAGATTAAAGAGAGGTGAAGATCTGTAGTAGCATTTTAGCTTTGGGCTTGTCACCATTCAGAGACCAGCTTTGCGATGGAAGAGTCTCCTACTCCCCATTTAGGCATCTTCTGTCTTCTGTCTCATCTTCCTCCCTCCAACATCTCTCTCTCCTCTTCTCCAGCTCTTCCCTGTTCTCCCTCCAAATATGGAGGTCCCTTGAGTTCCTTGGGTCTTTTTATACTGTGTTCTCTGCTTTGTAATCATAGCTCCTGTCAGAACTCTAAAATCTCCACCAGATTCCCCAAGCAAATTAACTTCCTTGACATGTTGGTGTCTGTCATGACACTTAAGTTATATAATAGCTAATGGATTTTACATCTCCACCAAAGTGGAATCTCATTAAAAACTAAAGTATTATGACTAGCTTCAAAGAAATAGTGATTATTAGTTTAATAATAGTGATAATGGGGTAATTCTTAATATTATCAAATAATTTATTTTTAAACACTAATATTAGAATTTCTAATTCATTTAAAAACATGATTTAGTTTATTATACTACTTTTATTATGTGAATTATAGTCTATGTCAGTTATAAAATATTGGAAACATAATATTTAACATTGCATTAATGTGGTTTGAAATTATAACTCTAACATTAAGAACAGGAAAGATTTAAATCATCTTGTTCTAAATTTATCTATATAGTTCAACATTTTATTTAGGTTAGGACTGGGTCAATAAACATTATGACATAATAATTTTATATTAAACATTTTATATATATGTTTTATATTAAACATTATATATACTTCATATATTTTATATTAATTATCAACTAATTTTAATTTTAATGCTATTATTATTTTGTGTCACTTATTTACTATTTATGTTGGTGTAAAAGATGCAAAAGGAAACCTGAGAAAAACCTAAAAATTTCAACAATTGTTTTTGTATACATAGTCATATTTTACAAAAATTAAAGTTTTTCAGGTAATAAATTTGTGCTTCTGAAAACTGTATGCCTGTCACATATTCTTTAACTTTCCATAATCATGATTATAAGTTGTATAGGACAAGAAAATGCATTTGCCTTATGAAATAATTTTGTAACTTAAATTAATATATTACCAAATAATGTCCTCTTCCCTTTCCAAAACTGATTTCTGCTTATATTACTCAATAGTAAGAAAGAATGATAGAGTAAATGTAGTATAGTGTATTTTGTTCTTATATAGCCCATTTTTTCTAGGGCTTTGAAATATATGTAGAATAATAATCAATAGTTCTGAATAACACCTTTAAATTGATAATTATATCTACATAACTCTGGATAAATGTTTATTTTATATATATTTTTGCAAATACTCTGACACTGTTATTGAAACATATGTGATGGACACTTTATATCTTGCATTTTTAGTGAAAGATACAGAAAAACTTTGCTAGATATTGTTGGTCTCTATCTACCAAAAAGAACACGCAAAGCCTAAATTGAGAATAGGTTGGATGTGAGTAGAGATACTGGGTTATGTTACAGGAACACAGAGTTCACAGCCCTGAAGTAAAAGCCTTCTATGGGGATTGGGCAAACCTGCCTGGAAACAGCATACATTTTGCAGATCTAACAATTAATCAATGAGCTCTCATAGGCAACATGGATAATAAGGATTTGAGGGTGTTTTAACATTTAAATTTCTCCAAAATAATTATTTGAGCATAATTGCCAATTATTCTTAGGTACTATCCATCTTTTGATTGGAGAAAACATCATGGGTTTAATTTTTTAACATCATCTCTCTCTCTCTTTCTTTCTAGATGACACGAGAACAATACATATTAGCGACACAGCAGAACAACTTGCCAAGAAGTGAAAATGCACAACTTTACCCAGTGGGAATTTATGGCTGGCGAAAGAGGTGCTTATACTTCTTTGTCCTTCTGCTGTTGGTTACCATGATAGTTAACTTAGCCATGACAATATGGATATTGAAAGTTATGAATTTCACTGTGGTAAGTACCACTATGATTTTACACCTATTGCTTTGGGTTCAAAGACAATCCAGCTCTATTGTCTTTATCGATTTAATTAAAAGTTATTCATCTTAATCTTTGCAAGTATGTCTTGAAACTTCCAGAAGAACCATATTTTAAGACTACCTTAAATATAGTTAGTTGTGACAAACATATGGCTTTACTACCTGAAATTTAAGGGTGGAAAGTTTAGATTTTAAGATAGCACAGAACATTGATGCATTAGAAATCTAGAAAATATTTAACCATTAAGTATTAATTATTCTATACTATCACTGAAAATATTAGAATATATACTTTTCATTTAATTAGTATTCATATTATAAAACATGTGTGTTTGAATTATTTTACATAGATATATACCTCATATTTCTCTGTATTTTCTCTCTATACAATACACTTCATGGTGAAATCTAAACTCTGGAATTTCTCCTGAACTTCATGAGCTAACATCTAAAACTGCTATTAGATAGTTACCTCATTCTTTCAGAACACATAATTGGTAAATATAAGATAAATCAGAGTAAAAAAGAAATTTTATGAAAATGAACAACTTAATAGCAAAACAATTGTGTAACTTATTGCTAAGTTTGGCTTCAGTTTATCAAATGTAGATCTGAGAGCCTTACTTAACTGAAAAATAAATCACTGCTTTAGCAAAGTTTAACTTAATTCATTTTAGCTAAATCCTTAAATTTTTCTACTTTATTATTTTTTTTATCATTTCACCTATTCTTAGAGACCTCAGGTACTTTTATTTGCAGACCACAATTTTTTTTTGCATCTTCAAGCAGGTATCTAATGCAGGATGTGTAATGTCATAGGCATTTATATATTGGGTCTTAAAAACAAACAAACAAAAAACAACCTTTTATGGGCATTGATTTAGTAAGAACTTATTTCTGACTTTTCTAATACTTCATTCTATCATGAGCCAGAATCTCAAAAGGTAAAATAAGCCCAACATTTGCCACACATACTGTGTATATAAAGAGCTGAAGAGGTCAGGTGGCCCTAAAATTTCAGAGAGAAAAATCCATAACTGTGCCAATCATGACACAAGAGCATATGGTCAATGGAGAAAAATGAGTTAAGCATTGATTCTGTGTTTTCCAGTACAACACAAATTTCAAAGAGTATTCTTAAAAATGAAAAGAAAATATAGACAGGAGCCAATACATTTCCTAGATTAGAAAAACAAAAACAAAAACATGAAACCATATCCAAGAGATGGATGTGTGTTTAGGGCCATGGTTCAAGGCAGGTTGAGTCTCTGGGTGGTTAGAGATGCAGTTCAGGGTTGGTAGGCAAAGTATTCCTTATGAGATTCTCAGGTAATACATCTGAACCACTCCTTAGTTTAAGACTCGACTCAGATTCCCCTCTCAGTTGAGAAATATTTTGGCACAAATATTTCTAACTTTCCCCCATTGTATTCATCCTGAGCATTGCTTCTTCTTTTCCTGATTAATAGCATTAATGAGTCATTTATCACATAGTTGGGGCAATGTTTGTACCTCTGAAAATGCCTTCATAACACGTTCATTATGAGCCAAACTTGCAAGTGCTGAAAGCAACTATTTCAACCTTTTCTTAAAAAAGAAGAGAAATAATTTCAATAATTTGATTTCTTCTACAAAAAAAGAAAAGCATCTACCAAAAGTTTTTGAAAAATGGGTTATCTCTTTCACTCTAGAAGGCCTTGAATCTGTCTAGGGATCAGAATACTGAAGTTTTCAAGTAACGGCCATGTAAACTTCTCAAATGTATTCACATTACTTTAAAAAATGCACAAACTTCATAATTACATGACCGCATGCCTCACACTCCCAATACCTTGCCCCATGCTGATACCAAGGCCAGCTCAGCCATCCGAAGGAAATAATTGAAACCATCGTCAGTGTCCTCAGGATCCTCATAGGCCTCAGGGTTGCTGTCACCCATGGAGCTATCTAATTTGAACCTCAGCTGGTCAAGATGTGAATGCTAACCTAGTCTTGGGGACAATAAAAAGGGATTGTTACATAGGAATCTTAGTATATGTTTTTGTTTGTTTTGTGCCTTTTTTAAAACACCATTTTACATTTGTGACTTTGTAATTTATTTTCTAACTCATGATTTTGCCTTCTTATAATTAAAAGGAAAACTGTTCTTGCTTCAACTATTCAAGTTTTTTGATATACTTCAAGTAACTGGACATATGAAATTATGATAATTGTATGTAGATAGAAAACACTCTATCCCAATGCAGTTTTTCATCACTGTTCAGAGAAATTCAGAATTACTTAAGTAGTTAAAGATTATTGCAGCTCAAACTACTGCAGATTAAGTTGTATACACCTGAAAAGTGAAATAATTTGTAATCCTCTTACATTAGAGCAGTAAAAAAAAAAGAAAGAAATCAATTTCATGTTTTCACTAGTGCATTATGTTTGTATCTATCTCGACAGAAAATACCAAAGACTGGTTGCCATACTTAGCAAGAAGCAGAAAAATGTGTAAATTGTTTGGGGATTACTATTGATCTGCACAAAATGTATTTCACTTTCATTATAACTCTTGCCATCCAATACATGGAAATATGTGGCTGTTAACATCTTTTATTTGAGCAAACTGGGCATGTTATTGTTATCAAAATATTGTACTTTCAGCACAGCAAGGTTAGCTGCCAGTCTGCTTTATGATGTTGCTTGGAGGCCATCATTATGACCAATATTGTGCGTGATCTGATAGTTGATATGACCTTATTAACTTCTATTTCTTATTTGTAGAAACTAAAATCATTCTGCTTATTGAGATGCTCCATTGCTGAGAACCAAGTAAAAGGAAATGAATTTATATTGCAGAATGAAAGACTTAGGATAGATATAAACAATAATTTCCTGGTTATGAAAGTTGATAAGTATAGGAAGAAGTTGAAGAGTAAAGATTTTGAAACTTCATTCTTTCAAGATCAGAAGAACTCAACTACTTGGCTGTTGTTCTTTTTGTTTGATTGGTACAATAACTTAATGGTTCATATTAATGATCTACTCTTGAAGGTCTATCAAATCCAGGTTTTCTGCTGAGGCAACATTATTCTCCAGGTTCAAGTCTCATTCTAAGTATATTAGCTTTATATTTGAAAATTTTAGAAAGATATGATTTTGAATATTTATTTTAAAAATAAGGTTACCTCATCAAAGTTTCTGGCATCCATCTGCAACATAATTCTATTAGACATGTTAACTAGCTAGAAAAAGAAAGGATAAAAATATAAATGAAATTTATTAAGCCAAATTGGAGAACAAAGTCCTGAATGTTGTGACTGAGAAGTTAGTAAAAACCAGATGTGGGTAATAATTAAAATAATCAATTTATTGAACAAATTGGGGAAAAAAATTCTTAGAGGCTTCCATCAACATTTGTATAAATGGTGGCTGAAAGTAAATTCCAAGAGAAGGAGTCATTTAGGTTGGCAAAGGAACTGGCAAATTTTTGGTTCAATTATCTGTATATCTCTAGGGGTCATTTTCCAACAATCCCTTATTTGATCACTTAGTATCTTCTTAAACTCTTCATGATAAACAAACCATCCCATTAAATCACTGTAATAGTTTTATTCATGATTAGATATGTTAATATTTTATTGTAGACTCCCCATATATAAGTTCAAACATGGCATTATAATTCCATTATTTCAATATCCACATACATTTATTAGAAATTTATCAAGATTACTGTGTTTTCACATACACACAAATGTATGTATACACACATGGATCTTTGATCACATTTTCTTTGTATGACTAAGAAATTGGATTATATTAGGGAAAGGGTTAGGGAAATCATTTCATTTTCTTTAGTTGTTACTTGCTTTTCTTTCTTTCTTTCTTTTTTTCCAATAGAGCATTATACTCATATATAATAATGAATTTCATTTTGACATATTCATAAGTGCATGTAACATAAATTTCTCAGTTTCAATCCCCAGTCCATTCTCTTTCCTCTATTCTTCCTTCTTCCTTTATACTACAGGCATTACATTTATTTATTTTTTTCTAATTCTTGAATTATGGTTGTATATAAAAGTGTAACTAATTGAGATATATTAATACATGAACATTACATAGTTTAATCGATGTCATTTCATAGTTTCTCTTTTTTCCTACCCTTCCTTCCTTCCTCTCAATCTCTTTCCTCTACCTTTCTAGCTCCATCCATTCATCAGAAAATGACATAATGTCATTCTTCTTTATGACTGATTAAAGCTCCATTGTGAACATACACCATATTTTCTTTATCTATTCATATGTTGATGGGCACCTAGGTTTTTCTTTTAACTTGACTATTCTGAATTGCACTGCTATAAACATTTGTATGCATATAACACTATAGTATGCTGATTTTAGTTCTTTTTTTTTTTTTTTTTTGGCTGGTACCAGGGATTGAACTCAGGGACACTTGACCACTGAGCCATATCCCAAGCCCTATTTTGTATTTTATTTGGAGACAAGGTCTCACTGAATTGCTTAGTTCTTGCTTTTGTTGAGACTGGCTTTGAACTTGCGATCTTCTGGCCTCAGCCTCCTGAGCCACTAGGATTACAGGTATGCACCACCTTGCCTGGCCTGATATTTTAGTTCTATTAGATAAATATCAATAAATGGGACAGCTGGGTTGTATGGTGTTTCCATTCTTAGTTTTTCAGTAATCTCCATTCTGCTTTCCAAATTGATTAAACTAATTTACATTCCTACCAGTAATGCATGAGTGTTCATTTTCCTAGCATAAAATCTCAGTATAGTTTGATATGCATTTCCCTGATTTCTAAATGTTGAATCTTTTTCTTTTTTCATATATTTGTTGGCTATTTATTTATATTTCTTTTCTTGAGAATTATCTGTTTACATCATTTTTTTTTGTTTACATCCATTACAACCCATTTGGGTTGTTCAATTTTTTTTTGGTGTTATTTGTATATTTTGCATATCAATCCC